TGAATCACAAGAAAGCTTCTTTCCAATACTATAAATATGATTTGCATACTCAGAAATTAAACTATGACTGAAATTTAAAGAAGACATAATTGATTTTGAGTCATATTTTTCGACTCTATTTCGTTGTATATACGAAAAATTTGTAATCTTGAAATTTGACTTGTAATTAAGGAATTTGAAAACAATTCTCCACACTGTACGGAGAGTTTTTTCTCTTTGTACTGTGCGGAGAGCTGGTTTGTCATCTCTCCGCACTGTGCAGAGAGTTTTTTTACTCCGCACTATGCGGAGAGATTTTTTTCCTCTCTGCACTGTGCGGAGAGTTTTGCCATGGTGCGAACCAACTCTTCGCACTGCACGAAGAGATTAACTCTTTCCGCACATTGCGGCGAGTTTTTTTTGCTCTACGTACTGTGCAGAGAGTTGGTCTGTCATCTCTCCGCACTGTGCGGAGAGATTTTTTTTTACTCCACATTGTGTGAAGAGTTTGCCAACTCTCCGCACAACTCTTTGCACATGGTTCAACTCTCTCCGCACTGTTCGGAGATGTTTTTTCTCTCTGCACTTTTTTTTATTTTTTATTTTTACTCCGCTCTTGGTTCAACTCTCTCCGCATTGTGCGGAGAGTCTTTTTTTTTCAATTTTATAATATTGAATTACACAAAATTTAGAAATATAATCTTCACATTTAATTCAACTATATCAACATTATCAAAGAATACAAGCAAAATAATTTGTATATTTTTTATTCAAGCATGAAATATACAAGCATATTTTTTCTAGAGAACATACTGCTATGCAATTGTAAAAATAATTTACAATTATTTTTTTAAATCATGGAAATATTTTTAGATATCGCTTCAAAAAATTTCAAAAAAAAAAAACTAAAATTCGTACACTAATAAAATATGATAAATACAAAATTCGCGTAACGTATGTGATAGCGATTAGTTTTATAATGGTTTGATCATGGTCATTCTCCAAAATGATTAAAAGGTAATGAGCCCATGAACTTAAGCTTAAAAAAATCGATGGCCAATGAATGAATTTGCTGTTTCAAAATGAAATCATGAATGTTGGAGAGACAATTAACAAAAAGGATGCTGATTTCTCCCTTTTGCAGGTCGCAAAGTGTATACTTTGGGCAGGCTTGTTTGATTTTTTTTTTTCCTTTTTCTTCCTCTTGTTCACTTTTTGTGCCCTCTAACACCTTTCTCAAATCTTTTACCGATTACCATTTTCACAGCAGGTCTCTTCAAGTTTTTACCATAAAAATTCCTTTTACCTCAGCAAGTTTTAGGTTCATTTTCTTCACTTTCAAGAATATTTGGTCGACTTTTTCTCACGTGATTCCTTCGTGGTTAAATATACTGATTTTCCACAGATGGCGTCAATCTGTTAACCTCTGAAAATGGACAATAAGTGTCGTTTAAAAATCACGAACACGTGGATAGATTCCTCACATGGACTCACCTCTTCATTGTAAATAAATCACACACACACACACAGTATATATAT